AATTGAAAACCACTCTATAACATCTCAATAAAGCTCAAATAACATTGAAATAAACACGTTGTGGCTTAAATTTGATCTTGGTTCAATCTCTCTTCAAAGTTTGATTTTATTTTCCTTTGTTCCAGGTACATTCAATGATAGTGAATACGATGCAAATCAAAATCAAAATCAAAATCCACCTGGTATGAACAACTTTAAACCAAGAACAAATCTGAACCCCATACATTGTTGAAGGACAAACTCATATTGCATACCTTGCTTTTCTTAGCTGGCCATTTTCAGGTGTGCTCTAATGTAAAAATACAAAGACAATTAAACGTGAATATAGTTCTACAAAGCCTGGAACACAGCACAGTAAGTAACTGTTTTCAAATTTAAAATAATGAAAGATTTCTATTTTTACCTGCTCTCCGAATTTCCGCTTTCCATTGTTAGCAGCCATCTGCTGATTACAAAAGAAACAGCAGCTAATTAAAGATTGCAGGAAAGGAAAATTTGGACCTGTCCCTTTGGTGTGGTACTGCATGTGTATACCTGGAGCTAACTCGGACCATTAAATACCTCAGTTCAGTCAAATCAAGAGTTGAAAGCTAACACAATGTTGACTGAGAGATTTCAGAAGTCACCTTGTTGGATCTTTCCATTCCATGGAGTTAATACATGTAGGCATTTTTGTTACTTGATTCTCGCTTGGTTGTAAATTAAATGATATAATCTTTCATTCACTAAACAGGTTAGAATTATTTTCAAATGCTGTGAATTATTTTTACTCATGGTATCAGCGTTTCTTGTCACTTTGCTTTAACAAACTTGTATCCTTTTCAGAATTATTTCTGTTTGTGGCAGATCAACAACACGAGCAGCCAATGGAATCTACGTATCCCCACTGTTCACTTTATTTTCTAATTAACAGAAAAAATTATTGCTCTGAATATCAACAAACTTGGTTTCTTTTCTGGGAAGGTCACCCCGGATGAAATAAATTAATGCACAGTAACACCGTACAGCTGTAACAAAAAGCAANAAACTCATATTGCATACCTTGCTTTTCTTAGCTGGCCATTTTCAGGTGTGCTCTAATGTAAAAATACAAAAACAATTTAATGTGAATATAGTTCTACAAAGCCTGGAATACAGCACAGTAAGTAACTGTATTCAAATTTAAAATAATGAAAGGTTTCTATTCTCACCTGCTCTCCGAATTTCCGCTTTCCATTGTTAGCAGCCATCTGCTGATTACAAAAGAAACAGCAGTAATTAACGATTGCCAGAAAGGAACACTTGGATCTATCCCTTTGGTGTGGTACTACATGAGTATACCTGGAGCTAACTCGGACCATTAAATACCTCAGTTCAGTCAATTCAAGAGTTTAAAGCTAACACAATGTTACTAAGAGATTTCAGAAGTCACGATGTTGGACCTTTTTATTCCATGGAGTTAATAGGCATTTTTGTTGCTTGATTCTCGCTTGGTTGTAAATTAAATGATTCAATCTTTCATTCACTAAACAGCTTAGAATTATTTTCAAATGTTGTGAATTATTTTTACTCATGGTATCAGCGTTTCTTGTCACTTTGTTTTAACAAACTCGTATCCTTTTCAGAATTATTTCTGTTTGTGGCAGATCAACAACATGAGCAGCCAATGGAATCTACATATCCCCACTGCTCACTTTATTTTTTAATTAACAGAAAAAATTATTGCTCTGAATATCAACAAACTTGGTTTCTTTTCTGGGAAGGTCACCCCGGATGAAATAAATTAATGCACAGTAACACCGTACAGCTGTAACAAAAAGCAAAAACAAAAGGAAACAAATACCTCATTACTTGAACCATCTGCAGAAGTCTGCCAGGGAACT